TATGCAACACTCAGAATCTCTCTCTCTCTCTCTCTCTCTCTCTCTCTCTCTCTCTCTCTCTCTCTCTCTCTCTCTCTCGTGTGTGTGTGTGTGTGTGTGTGTGTGTGTGTGTAGTTCTTTAATATGAAGAACCTTCCCCATTCCATATTCCTGATCCCCATTCACAACTCTTTCTCCTGTGGACACTTAAAAGTGGGTTTTCAAGTTTAAGGAGACTCGGACCTTACTTCTCTCCCACTTATGTCTGGAAGTCCTGGCCTAAGTTCCTAGGCTGCGTACCCCCAGATCCTTCTCCCGGGGGAGAACTCAATGGACCTTCTGTTTTATAAACCTCTAGTGGGATGAAGACCCCCACGCTGGCTGAGAGGTAGGGATAAGTTCTCTCCTTTTGCTCCAAGCGTCCTGCCCTGTCCCTTCTCAAACCACAAAATGAACCTCAGCACCCCCAGCCAAGCCCCTGTCCCTGTTTGCATTTTATTTTTTGAAAGTGACCACTGAGTCAAAAAGCCTGAGCTAACAGGGCGACTCAGGGGTCTTCCTTCAAAGCCAGCCTCTGGCAGAGGAGTCCCCCTGGCCGGCCCTCTCCCAACCTGGCTGCCTGGGCCCCCTTCTCAGACCTTCCTGCCCCTGAGAGCTCCCCAAGGTAATTCGCTTTTATTGAGTCTCGCCCCCTCGCCCTCGCCCCTCTCCCGCGCTGCCCGCGCCGCTCGGACAGGCTGTAATCCGGCTGCGCCCGCCTGGCCTCCCCTCCCCTCCTGTGCCGGTTGTAAAGGAAAATTGCTCCCAACTTACTAGGGTCCAGGTCGGCCTTCTCCTCTTTGTGCTTGCTGCCGGCCAGCGCGTCCGCCTCGGGCGAGGGCAGCGTCTGCGGGGCGCGGTCGCGCAGCTCCCCGGGCGAGCCGTACATGTAGTCCGGGTAGCTGCGGCCGTCGCCTGGGCCGCAGTCCGCTCGGCGCCCGGGGTAGGCGTCGGGCTTGAGGGCGTAGTGACGGCCCCCGGCCGGGAAGCTGGGGAAGGAGACGGCGCCGGACAGCGGCTCGAGCCAAGTCCGCATGTAGCGCGTGTCGGCGCCGAGGTGGGGCTGGGGGCCGTACGGGTGATAGACCACGGACGACTGTGAGGGCACGGGCGCCCACGACGTGCTGAACACGGCCGGCTTGGGCGCGAAGCTACAGGACGGAAAATCGCTACAGTCCGGCACCAAGCCGCTGGGTCTGGCGGCGGCAGGGTGAGCCCCGGTGGCCGGAAACCTGGACGCTAGGAGGTCTTCATTGTCGTGAGAGATGAGCGAGTCCACGTAATAGTTACTGATGGGCCCCGTCGCCGACATCGTAACAGGGTTTTACATACATAAGATTATTGTATGAACTGTATATGTACTTTTTATCTGCTCACAGAACAATCAAGGCAGGTAATTATTTTTCCAGCCTTTTCCCGGCAGCTCATTGGTTCCCTAGCCCCCACGTGATCGTATTTACCCAAAAATACGGCGCGGATCAATGCGCAGGGGCTTTTTTCCCCCTTGCTTTTTCCCCCCTTTACCACCCCCTTCTCTCTGCTGATCCCCGCGACCTGTGTTCTCCTGGCGATCTGCAACTCTGGACCCAAGGCGCTGGACACCCCACCCCGGACGACTCATATCTCATCAGGGAACACCCCCCCCCTCCTTGACCATGTGCAGCCAAAAGCAGATGGCTCCCCCTACCATGAGGATTAAAAAAAAAAAAAAAAGGTGAAAATGCCAGTTTTAGAAGCCAGGGTTCTTGGACCCCCAGGGCTGAGCTGGGCTCGGGGAGCCCCACAGGGGCGGGGAGGCCGAACGAGGTAGGTGGAGGAACTATTTCTTGACGTAATCTATCTCTGTCGTCTCCGATGCTCCTGCAGTCTCTGAGTGAGCGAAGATCTGCGATTGTCAGTTCGGAACGTGGCTTTTAAAAATGCGTTTTTAAATACGGTGTATGTATGTATTTCTTTCAGGAACAGCAGCACCAGCAGCGAGGGAGGGAGGGTGGGAGGGGACTGAACGATCTGGGATGGAGGGAGGGAAGGAGTGGAAGGGGAGAGTTCTGCCACTGGCCAGCTCAGCTCCCCAAATCTAGGTATGGGAAGCTTGGGAAAGGTGGTCTGTGGGGTGGGAGGGGTAGAACTTGAGGATCTCACACACCTTTATCATCAGCTTCACAAGTCTCCTCTTGCTTTGGCACAGATATATAAGCCTTTATTCAAATTTATTGTCTCTGTTTCTTTGCCAGCTTGAAGAAGTGAAGGAGAGAACTACACGCTAAAGTGGGGCAGCATCCCCATCCTATCTGCCTGCTCACCCTCCTTTGCCCCCAGGTCCATCTCTGTGACACCTTCACCCCCCCACGCCCCGCAAAAAAGAGAAGTCACTCGGAGGTTCTGTCTGCAGAAAGCCAGGGTGAGAACAGGCAAAGCGAGAGAGCGACCTCGGTCGTGGGCAAGTAGCTTGTTTTTACGTCCTTCAATAAAATTTTTATGAGGATCATTTGATTGTTCATAAATGTGTCTTTCATTAAATAAAATTGTAGGCTGTTTTTGGAACAGAAAAAAGCAGCAGAGGGATGGGAGAAGGCGATTTCTATGGGGTCGGAGGGGAGAATCTAGGAGGTGGCTGTGTGATTGAAAGGAATTACCACACAACTTGGATTCCACCACCCCCCCATAAGTTGACTGCTATCCTCCCCCTTGAATTTGGGGTTTGTTGCATGCACAGCCTAGCCTTTCAGCAGGACCTCCCATGGTGGTTTAGCAAATGGAGGGCTTTGGAGAGACAGAAAAATCCTCAGTATGGGTTCAGAAGAGGGGGCAGAGGTTGGTTGTGGGGATGGAGGGACAGGTGATATCCCTAGAGACATAATGCACCAAGGCAGAGCAGAATGAATCTTTAGGATCAGGGTACAGTCTCAGGGTCAGAGGGGAGCATCTATAGGAAGGGAAATAGATAGAAGCTGAGACTAGGATGCAAGATCTGAAGGAAGCAGGTTATGTGGCTTCTTAGACCCAGCCAAGTCTACCTTCTTCCTCTCTCCAGTCCCCAAGACCAGTCCAGACTCTAAGTGTGGGAGTGGGGGCTGGTTTTCTCTTACATTTCTCTCCCTCTATCTCTTCCAAGGTGGGGAAGTGCTAGAGGATGGTATGTGTGTTAGGGGGCAAGAAAGTTGGGGAGATGGTACAACTGCAGCTCTTAGGAGAGACTCAAGAATCTCAGGAGCCCTCCCTAATACCTGTGGGCCCCCTCCTCTGGTTCTTCCCTTTTCGGTATACCAGGGCTGGGTTTTTTGTTTGTTTGCTTGTTTGTTGTTTTTTGGCATGGGGTGGCTGTGCAGGGAAGTGTCTGGTTAGGGAAAGGCACTCGGAGCTTCAGATTAATTCTCCTCAGCTTTCACTGTCTTTTTCTTTGGGCTGGACTGGCTGGAAAATCCAAATTACAAGAAGAAACAGAGTATCTCTTTGGCCTTGATGTAATCATGTTAGCTGTCAATCAAAAAATCTTGCTCACTAGTGCAAGGAACAGACAGGAGGTTCCAGTTCCTCTGCAGAGGCTTTCTCCAAATCCCCAGCATATTCAGCACCTCCCCCAGCCATGGGTGACTGGGGACCCTGCCTGGCTCTTTGGCGGTTGCTGGCAGCCTTCAGCACAGACATTTAGTCTTCAGTGGGGCCCCGGGCCAGACTGTGGCCAAGAGGACATCAAGGGACAGAGCCTAAGAGAGTCAGAGCCTGACAGACCTATTTAAACAGGTCTCCAGGCTGGAGGGAGGAAAAATAGAACCGGAGGGTTAGGATAACGTGAGAGATGAGAGAGAGAGAGAGAGAGAGAGAGAGAGAGAGAGAGAGAGAGAGAGAGAGAGAGAGAGAATTAAGGGAAAGAAGGCAGGCAAGATGAAGAGACCTAAGAGCAAGATAAGGAAGGCTCTCAAAACACAAGGAAAGGAAGGGCAACGAGGCACAGGCAGGACAGGGCAGGGCGCGGGCTGGCGGAGCAGCCGTGGCAGCCGTGGCATTGTGCAGTTCCCTTGCTTGCCGGGGCTTTGCCGCGGGACCGCTCCCGGCGCGGCGGCCACTTCTGTCTGGACACAAAGGAGTAAGAGGCCTCCTTTCCTGCCCCTCTGGGAGACCTGCTCCGGTGGGTATATTAGGCCTCCGGGACACAGAATCTGACATTAGCCCAGCAGTCACTCCAGCTGCTGGGGGCTAAGCCACATTCTAGTCAAAGAGGAAGAAATAGAAGGGGGAAAAGACATCATGCCTGCTCTTCCTCTGCATCTTCACTAAGCCACGGGGCCGGCCTGCTTCTACCTCAGCGTTCCTAAACAGAAGTCCTTAAGAACCCTCTATTATGGGCCTCTTCTATTTGAGAGAGCCCTTCTTATAGACGTCTTGACTGCAAGGAGAGGCTCCCCTCTCTCCCTTCTCTCCTGCTCGCTTTGCACAGCGCCTTCTTTTCAACTCCTGAGCAGCCTGCAAACCCAGCCTGACAACCTTGCAGAGGCTGCTGCAGCTGGGCAGTCAGGAGCACCATCCAGAGATCCCTGCTGCCATCAAATCCCCCAGGAAGCAGAAGAGAGACTGGTGCCTTTCCATCCTTTTGGGATCAAGAACTTCAGACCCTCCCCACTCAGAAGCAGACACAGCTGTGAACTAGGAAGCAGGCCTCGCCCACAGCCCCTCCTCACCAATGCCCCATTCTGTCTATGCCTCCCAGAAAGAAGTAACCTTAAGGAGGGGTTTGGTAGAGACCCGGGAGTTCAGGGACCACTAGGCCCAGGTCCTGCGTGCGGCTGTCACTCCCATGTTTCACATTTAAAAGCTAGCAGGTCAGGGACGGAAAGTGGCCTTTCAGGTTTCCTCTACATCTAGGTTTGTCAATGTGGGGGGCAGAGATGTGGGGATGCCCAAAAGTAGGGCCTCATCTTGGGGCTCAATTACTCCTGCTGAATCTTCTATTCTATTCTAGGACTTTCTCTCATCTACACCACGCCTTTCAATTTTTTCTTTGCACCACTGGGGCAACCTGAGAGACCTGAGAGAGCTGGGCGTAACTGTAGGGGAGGGGAAGCCCAGTTCTAGCTGGCTGTTCTGTATTCACTGGAGTTCTTATGGTTCACCTTACACCCCCAACAGATCTCAGTGGGCACAGGAGAGGAGTTCCCTGAGGGGGAAGGGGCACACTTCCTATATCACCTCAAACCTGGGCAACTGAGACCACAATCAAGCTAGCACCTTGGGAAGGACAGACAAACAGATAGGTTAGAGTCATCATCCCCCTCCCCCTGCCGGGTGTCTCCCTTTTAATGATTTAAACTCCCTCCGGTTCAATCCACACCGTCAAGTTCGGATTAAATTTAAAACAGGCTTTCTCCTGTGCCCCCAGCGGGCCATTCGGGCCGCCGCAGGCAGGGAGCCCGCTTACTGCTCCTCAGCACCCGCCCTGAACCGAGGAGGCCTTGTACCGTTTGCTTTCATTTTCCTTCTCCCCTGAAATGGGCTCATTTCATCCCTCCGCTGCCCTCTCCCCTTCCCCGCCCCCTCCCTGATTCCCCTTCTACTCCCCCCCCCCATCTCTCCTGATCCCTCTTTGTTGGGAAAAACACACCCACACACAACTCCTCCTAGCTAAGGCCTGCACTGGAAGCAGAAACTGAGCTCTCCTGCCTGCCGCGAGGAGATCCGCGTGCTACCCCCACGCAAGGTGGGTATCTGGGATCCCTGCACACCACACCAGGAGCTAGGCACCCAAGCTCAGAAAGCGTGAAACCCCCAGGGCCTGTGAACGTGGCCCTCCCAACGCCATGGCCTGCCCGGCCTGCCTTCGCGCCGGCGCCCCCGCCCTGCCTCTCCGTAGCAAACGGGGTTATTTCCGGCTCCCCCAACACAGTCTGGTTTTCCAGCCTGGGGAGTGGCTGGAGGGGGAGCCGCCCCAGAGCAAGGGCTGCCCCGCGCTCTGACTCTCAATGGCTCCGAGCACGTTGTTACCTGATCTTTTGTGTGATGTATGTACCGCAAGGAAATTTGCAGTGACTTTGGAGCCCAGACTGAGGAAGCGTAGGTGGCGAAATGAGAGACAATACAGGCTCGAAGTACAATTAAGGAGCCAGAGCCGCGGGTCTCTCCCCCGCCCTCCCTGCCCGACTGGGAGCTGTCTAGTTTCAAACATCAGGGCGACTCGCGAACCTAGAACCGGAAAACTTAGCCTGTGGCGGAGGGAGCCAGAGAACTCCGTGTCCAGAAAACAGGAAGAAAGCTCCCTTCCAACTTGCGGGTACCAGCCCCGCCGAGTTGCAGAGAATCCAATGAATGAAAGTATACATTCCGACGACGAATTTTTCTCAGCCTTTGGAAGGAGTGCCCGGGTTTGAGAAGTCTCAGACAGACAGGCAAGCGGCGTCTCCCAAAGCAGACAGACTCACAACATGAGTGTGAGACTGAAATCATACACAGGTTGAATATCCCGAGGCCTCCTTGCCAGGCCCGGCTGACGCCGATTTCCCTACCTTCTCTCCCGCCAGGACCTCAGGCAAAGGCCCCGAAGACTCGGTACATTAGGCTTGGTCCAATGCCGCCTTGGGAAGCCTCCGTTACCTGTTCCTCGGCTCCCCACGGCCACAGACGCAGGGCAGCCGCCTCCTGCCCAGGGAGGGAAGCCCTGGCCACCGCAGCCGCCGCCACCCGCCCTCCTTCCCTCCCTCCCTCCGTCGCCCTCCCTCCCTCCCTCGCACGCTGCCGCTGGCGGGGCCCTCCCGCGGGCAACCTGCTCTGGACCAAATCCAGGTATCTCCGAAAGAAAAAAGAAAGGACTGCTTATATAGGGAGGGGGAAAAAAAGACCATAACTGCATTTATTTTCATGCTCTAATCATTGGTCTGATCTTAGTTTAGTTGTCCGGGACACAGCCCAGAAACCGCAGAGGTGTGCGGGGCCTACAGCCTCGCCCACACTGACCACCGCGCCCGGCGCACTGCACGCTCCCTCCGTACTCTGGGCTGCCGCCCCCCGACAGCCCAAACACCCAACAGACCTCAAGGTCCTTCCTACAGACTCAACATCCGGTTGCCCAGCTCGCCGCTGACCACAGCCCAGGAGTCTGCTCTGCTCAGTCTGCAGCCGAAGTCCACACACAGTCCACCTTGTCCCTGCTCTCGCACCCTGCCCGGACACCCCTCCGAATCCAGCCATCTGCTGGGCTACACTTGGGCAAACCTCGTCCCCAGCAAGGGACCCACACAAAGCTCTTTCGCTAGTCTTCCCGTTTATACTCCCCCTGTCCCCGCTTGCCGCCTTCACGTCACCTGTTCCCAAGAAGGGCTGCATCTCCCAGCGTGTGAGCCGAGGCAAGGCCGACTGCCGGGGTGAGGTCCCAGGGAGACCAGAGGATTAGCTGGGCTGAGCTGAGCCCCCACTGTCGGGCGGCGGGCGAGACGTCTCAGAGACCAAGGCTCTCCTTGGCGAGCTCTTGCCTTTTCCTCCAGCTCCCGCAAGTCTCAAACACACGCCGAGAGTTCAGCTCTATAAATCCTGCTCCCCTTTCCCATATCATAATTAAAAAAAACCAGTAGGGGAGGTTTTAACTTTTATTGCGATTTCTAGAGTTGGGCTGCGGAGCATATATTAAGTTTACGCTTATGTGCTCTCGGCGGGGAGGGTCCTTTAAGAAATAAAAATCCATCTTAATATCCTCAGACGAGAGAGATAATTTTTTCCCTCCTCTTCACGCTGTTCCTTCTGAAGACTCCCTTCCAGCGAAGCGAATAAATAATTACCGTCGCCTTAGCCATGATCCACAGCCCCAGAGCCCCCGGGGTGGACTCTGACCATCAGACTGGCCCTCACCTTGGCCATATGAGACCTTGCTCCCTTTCTCTGGATCTAGGGAGGAGACGCCCTGACCCCTGACTCTTTGGCCACCTCCTTTAAGCCTATCATCTTTGAAATGGAAATGGGGGCAAAGGAACTCGAGGCACAGAAGCCCTATATTGATAAATTTCGGCCCATCAGGGAGATTTCTCTAAGCCAAGTGCTCTTCAGCACCTTGCTCCAGCCTGAGGATCTCTTTACCCAAATAGTCCATGTGCCTGGGGACTCGGTGTTAAAGACTGTATGGGCCCCTAAACGAAGGGATCCCCTTATATATCTTCTACTATCAATTGGCCTATTTTTTCTGGAAATCTCCCCATTTCCCTGGGAGCCATAGAAATTTGAATAATTTTCCTCCCACAAAGGATGGAGGATAGACAGACTGACAATTCAGCTGGGAAAGAGAGAATCTATGCCCATTTTCACCTCCAATGTCCATGGAAGTCAAAATAAATTTGAGAGACAGACAGGCAGACTGATATGCACACAGATTGATCTCAGAGAGAGATTGAGATATCAGAAAGCCTAGAAGGGACAGATAGAAAAGAGACCTACACACATGTAAGGTCACACCATTTTCTTCCAGGACACCATGTTGAGAATACAAAATTCTCCATGATAGTTTGTTAGAGACATGATTGTATATTGCATTCCCTGCTTTCATAATCATAATTATGGACAGAGTCCCTAGAACCTGACCTCCTTTGGGTCTCTCCTTTCCAGTGTCTCTGAAAACAGCCATCTGTCTCCCTTTTCCCCTTTGAAGACCAAGAAACCTTTTCTGAGATCCTTCTCTGTAGAAACCAAGGCCAGAATTAAGAAAGCCGAGGGGGAACACAGGGGAGAGGTCTGTAAAGTTTCTCATTGCTCAGATCTCCCTCTTCCCCATTCATCTCCCCTCCACCCCCTAGCATCATCGCCAACAGCCTTCTCAACAATATGGTAACGGTGGGCGCTGGCAGCTTCTCTTTACCCAGACATTTCCACAGAACACAAGGACAGGCAAAATGCCTAACAGCCACAGACTAGCAGCCGCATAGACCAAGGCCTACCGGTAACAGACAGCCAGACAGACCAGAGCTGGGCTTTTGCCCTCAACAGGGTGTATTTGGGAAGGCTTCTACTTGGACTTGGTGTTTCTCCACTAACATACTCACTTCCCATGTGTGTCTTTTCCCTGGAGATGGAGCTGTGGAGGGAAGGAGAAGCCACTGTTCTCAGAGTTCCCTAACTCTTGGAACAACATCCCCACTTTCCTAAGGAGCACTGCTCTCTCTCTAGAGGTAGCAGGAAGAGACAGTAACCATTTCAGGGACTCCCTCCTCTTTCTAGGAGCTTTCCTCTCCTTTATTGACTCTGCCCCACCCTTCTGCCCAACTGAACTGGCCCACCAGGCCAAACTCAAACTCCAGCATTTCCTTGGAATTGGCTGGACCTTCTTTGTCTATCAGCTGGACTCAGGAGACAATAGCTACAGGGTGGGGAGAAAAACCCTCTCCCTCGGTTGCAGACATTGGGGCAGGCTGGGAAGGAGATGGCTGCAAAGCAGGCTGTCCAGAATCTGTCCCATGGCCTCCACTCACAGCCTGACCTCCTCAGTCTGCACCCACTTTGTCCTGTCTGGAATGGGGATGGTGGGGCAGTCCCACAGGGGAGGGAAGGGTTAGGAGAGGTGGATTGGGGCCCTCGACGAAAACCGACTGATGTAACTCAGGCAGTTTCTTGTTGCCGAGTTCAAAACTCAATCCCAACAACATGAAACTACCTAAGCCACAGATCAGCTGAGCAAGCAGGGCCGGAGTTTTGGCTTTGCATCTATCCAAAGGAGAAGGGAAGGGGCTTGGGGAAGGAAGAAATTCAGCCCGATTCCCTTTCCGCCCTTACAGTCTCCCTAAGGACTAAAGAGCAGATTTTGGGTGGCTGGGTGGGCAAAGGATCTGATTGCCTCCATTAGTTTCTGGTATAAGCAAATTGCGTTTGGAAAATCTGGTGAGATGGGACCTCTGGCCGCCAAATACCTGCCCCACCCCCAGCACTGCAGTAGAGCTATCCCCCTGCATCTGGCCCTGGCCCTGGCCCTGGGGGGAGCTGGATCATTCTTCCACTCTTGAGCTAGGTCCCCTGTCTTGTCCATCTGGCTCTCCTGTACTCTCCTCCCAGACTCTCTCTGTCTCAGGCTTCTCAGCAAACATGGGTGCCTGGACCACAGCGCCTATGCTCTGGAGCCACTTTCAGTCAGGCCACTTGCCGGGCAAAGCCCCACAGCTGGGAAACGCAAGGACCAAGAACATGAACAAGGCTCACGCCTACACCAGCAAAAACAAGAAAACCTAAGCTTCAAGCTCCAATCCTTCCCCAACATACAACCAGACCGAGAGACACCTAAACTGATGGGTGGACCTCCAAACATCCCTTAGTGCCTGCAAAGATACAGAAGCCAAAACCACAAATTTACCCCTTTAACCACCGAACCCCACGGCGGCAGTGGGCCGGGGAGGGGAGGAGAGGGCGCTCAGAGCCGCTGCCCTCCACTGCCGGCGGCCAAAGGCAAATCCGGAGCTCCCAGCAAACACAGATGCCCCAAACACCTTCCTCCTTGCTCTACCCGCTGCTCGCCGGGCACCTGGGGACGCCGCTAGTCCCTCAGTCCACCGCCAAGAGAAGAACAAGAAACCGATTCTCTTACCTTGTCGCCGCCTCCTCCTCCTGCTGCCGCTGGCGCTTCTGTTAGCTGCTGTCGAGGGAGGGTGAGGGGGGGCTGAGCTCCTCGTGCCCCTCCGGTGGTTAAGTTTATTCCTCTGTTTAGATGGGTGGGGGTTCCTGAGGTGCCCCCCAGCAGTGGTGGGGTGCACCCAGCCCCAGTACCGAAGGCAATCAGATCCGTCTGCTCCTCAAGATTGCAGTTTGCTCTCTGCCTCTTTTCCCTCCTCCAGTCACCTTTAAATGCATCTTTTACTGCAGTACCACATTATATTTGCAGATCATAAAATCCACCTCTCGCGCGCACCAAGACCGTCCTGACATTACTGTTTTATGACCTTGACTTATTGTGGTCACCTGGATAATATTTAAATCAACGTTATGGTCTCTCACTTACATTAAACCCGCCAAGAGACGTTCTGGAAAGGCTGTAGGGATGAGTCAAACACAAAACACACACATATCCACACACTCAGTGTTTTTGGGGGAGGGGGTGTCGCTTAAAAAAAAGCCACTAAAAACAAAAAAACCACCCATTTGAGGATTAAGATTCCGGAAATTTATTAGGATTTTTTTTCTCCATTAAGGAAGCTACATGCAAAAGATACAACATACAGAATATCTTTAAATAACACAACTCCCAGACAGGGACAGGACAACTTGGGGGGGGGTGTCTTTACTTTGCTATGTTCTATTTTTAATTTTTTTGTTCTTCTGGATGGAATTTCTGAGATGTTAGTAGATGGGAGATACAGAGTGCTGGGAGGGGGGAGAAAAGCAGAAAGCAGTACAAATACTTCAAGCAGATTCTCAGAGCCACTGGGAGGGAGAGACACAGGGAGGGTTGAGTCTAGACGCTGGGTGCTATGACAAACACACAAATACTAGGCGAACTTTCAAGACTGTCTATTATTCTAAGGGGGGAAATGCAGCAAGGAGGAGCAATTCTGACTATGCTCTCCGAGGTTACAGGTTACAGACCCTCTCTGGTTGATTTTTCCCCCTTTCTTTCCCCTATACTCGGGTAGATTCAATCTTAACTTTGCATGGAGAACAGAATGCTGCGTGTGAGTGCGTGGGTGAGTGAGGGGTTGACACACACACCAGCCACACTCCCACCCCATCTTTGAGGGCACACACAACACCCCAAAACCCAGCACCCCGTTTCTCATGCTTTAGGTGGAAGCATCCTCACAGCACGAACCATAGGTCCCTTGGAAGGAGAGTCTGAGGTCTTTGCCTTTTTTTTGCAGGCGCGTTGCATTTATACTCAGGGAGGGAAAAAAAATATCACCAGGCACAAAGGGAGGAGGGGCGGGGAAAGGAGAGACGGGGAGGGGGAGGAGATGACGCTGGCTCAGGTGAAATTAAAATTGGAGGTCAGTTCCCGGATCCGATTCTCTCGGTTCATTTTCTTGAGTTTCATTCTGCGATTTTGAAACCAGATTTTGACTTGTCTGTCTGTAAGGTTAATGGTCTTGCTAATCTCCAGGCGGCGCTCTCGCGTCAAATACATATTGAACAGAAATTCTTTCTCCAATTCCAGCGTCTGGTGTTTAGTATAGGGGCACCTCTTCTTCCTTCCGCTCTTTGCTGTCAGCCAATTTCCTGTGGTGTTTTCTGCTTTTATCTCCTCTGTTAAAAATAACATTATTTACATAAGTATCCCTGGAAGAAGCAAGCCCTCGGATGCAGCTTTTGGAAGCCTGCTTGGGGAGAGGGTGGATGAGTAAGCACGGAGGAACTACTCTTCCCTCACAGGCCTGGGGTGTAGACTTATAGGGAAGAAAGAGAAGAGGCTCTTACCCTCAAAGTGTTTACAAAATTTAAATTAGTCAAGCCCACCTTAACCTAACAGATTCTGAATGCCTCTCCTGATCCTGATGGTTGTCTTAAACCTCTCCAGACTTTTCTTCAACTCTATTCTGCTCCAGATCTCAAAAAATCCAGCCAGACAGAAAAGGCGTCTTCAATGCAGTCTACCCCACAGCGTGGAGTCATTTCCTGGAGAGCTTTGACTCCTTTCAACTCTGTGGAGGGA